AAGTGCTTCTCAACCTGTGGGTTGCAGCCCATCTGGGGTTGCGTATCAGATACTTACATTATGATTCACAACAGTAGCAAAATAATGGTTATGAAGTAGCAATAAAATAATTTTATGGTTGTGGGTCACCACATGAGAAACTGGACTGAAGGTTTACAGCCTTAGGAAGGTTGAGAACCACTGTCCTAGACAGAGGTTTTTCTCATTATTTATCTATTGCTGTGATAAAACACTGGCCAAAACAAATTGGAGAGTAAAAGTCTTCTTTGGCCTACAGATTACATACATTGAGAGAAAGAAACCAAGGCAGGAACCAGAAGATAAGAAATGAAGCCCATGAATGAACGCTGCTTACTAGGTTGTTCCATGGATCATGTTCAACTCTGTTTCTTTGAAAAAAAATATTTTTATTATTATTTACTTACATGTGCATATGTGTATGACTGTATATGTGCATGTACCTGAGGTTAGGGCCATCCCCTGGAGCTGGAGTTACAAGCAGTTGTAAGCTGCCTGGCAATGGTGCTGGGACTTGAACTCAGGTCTTCTGCAAGATCAATACGTTTTCTTAACCACTGAACCATCTCTCCAGCCCATCAACTACATTTCTAATAATGCCCAAGCCTAACTGCTGAGAAATGGTACCATCCACAGTTGATTGTGCCCTCCTATATTATTTAGCAATTAAGAAAATACATCACAGACATGTCCCTGGGCCAATCTGGTTTATTGGATTTCCCTCTTGACAACCAAAATCAGCAACCACAGAGGTGGTGCACACCCACATTGTGTGGCATGCACTAATGAATCGTCATTTCTTAAATTTTCCATTGAACATTTTTGTACCACATTTGACCCTTAGTAACTAATGCTGTGGAAAATTAAATTACAGACATGGAGAGCTATTTAATTTCACAATAAATTTGCTTTTAAAAGGATTCATCAAACTAGTGACTAATATAGCCAAGAAAACTATATTTCCTGACATAACCTCTCTCACTCAGTGTTATTGATAACTCTGACTTTTACTTTCAAGAGTACCCAAGTTTGCATAAAATATTTTGAGGTCCCATATGAGTAACCTACTGCACTGTCATCTTTTAAAAACTGGAATGAGCACGGAAGTCAGAAAGTGGCTTCCAAAATGACACTCAGAGAGTATTTTGAAATCTCTACTAAAGCTTCTGGTTTCTGAGTGATAAGAAAGATTGGCAGTTACCATAGTAACCAAGGATGCAGGCAAAGCATGCTTCAAAGATTAAAATCTTAGATCCATGTTATTAACTGAATTACCTAAGAGCACGTTCCTGTTAAAAGATGGGTCTCATTCCTAACTTCAAAAGTTCTTAGCTTACCTAATAGTCACCGGTGTGCATCATGCAAAATAATAACTAGAGCAGGACAAAGTGGGTAAAGGCACTTCAACAAGCCTGACAGCTCGAGTTTGATCCCCTGGATCCACATGTTGATATTTCATTACTTTGCTATTGCTGAGATAAAACATCATCATGACCGAGGCAACTTATAGAGGAAGAATTTATTCTGAGCTTAGGGTTCCAGAAGGATAAGAGTCCATCATCATCACCAATTAATCCAGAAATGAGGCAACAGGCAGGCAGACTGACCAGGTAGCAGGCACTACTGGGAGCCCAGATCTCAAACAGCAACAGGGAGAAGAGAAAACAAACTCAAAATGGCACATGTTTTTAAGTTCTCAAAACCTGCTCCCTGGGGATAGAGAGTTGGATCAGCAGTCAAGAGCACTGACTGCTCTTCCAGAGGAAGAGAATTTTTAATTCCCAGCAACCATGTGATGGCCCACAAGCATCCGTAACTCCAGTTCTAGGAGATCCGATGCCCTCTTCTGGCTTCCATGGACACAGACATGGTGCACAGACATGTATGCAGGCAAAAGAACCATACCCATAAATAATAAAATAACCCCATCCAGTGGGGACCAAGTATTCAAATACCTGGGAACATAGGGACATCTAACTCAAACCACCACATGGTGGGTGGAAAGAATCAACTCCCACGAGCTGCCCTTCTAACCTCCACATGGCTGCTTTGGCATGTGCATGCCCATACACATATGTGCACACAAGATAAAAATGAAAATAAAATAGATAAATCCTATATCTCTCTTTTTAATTAATTTTGCTTTTTTGACAATTTCATATGTGTGTGTGTGCCTGTCATTGGTTACTCTCTTCTTCACACCCTCTGTCTCCTTCCCATTCCTATCAACCAACCCAAACCTTATCATTACTAGTTCCTTTCCCAGAACCATGACTTTCATTTTTGTTTTGTGACTCAGTTTACCCATGGAATGGTTCCATTCATTGGCACCTGGAACAGTCACCAGTAGGTATACAATTACAAGCAATGGTTCTCCCTCCCCACTGGATGGGTTTATTTTATTATGTATGGGTATGGTTCTTTTGCCTGCATACATGTCTGTATGAATCTATAAGTGGTAAAGGATTGAGCCACCTGAGTCTCTCTTCTGTTCTTGCCTACCTATTGATCAACCCATTCTTTTTTCAACTTTCTTTTTATTTGTTCTTTGTGTCTTCCACATCATCATGCATCTCGATCCCATTCATTTCCTGTCCCTTTGTATCTACCCTCTGCCATTGCAGCACACACACACTCCAAAAAAACTTGAGAAAAAAGAAAAGGAAAAACACTTTCATCATGGAAGCTGTACTGTGACACAGTGAGTCACACAATAAACCCTTTATCCATATATCTTTACTTTCAGGTGCTCATTGCAAAGAGTCATTGGTCTGGTTTGAGGCCTCTGGTCTCTGCTACACTATCGATGCTGGACTCTCACTGGGACTCCTCTTGGATATCTTGCTGTTGCCTTGTGTTGTGGAGATCCTGCAGCTTTGGGTCTGCAGGACCAGTTCCTTCATGTTCTCCAGCAGATCACAGATGGGGTGGGCCAACCCATAACTCTGTTTCTAGGCCTGGGTAGTTGCAGGGTTGGTCAGCCCACCAGCTTTCCCTTGTCCTCACCTCCAGGGTGAGTGATCCTGCTTTGTTCTGGCGAGTTCACCCCTGGCAGTAATGAGCAAGGGGCAGGACCATTATTTTTATTACTATTACTTCTAGTTTTTTGAGATTATAATGCAATTGCATCACTTTTTTCTTCCCTTTTCTTCCTCAAAGCCTTCCTTGTTCTTTAAAATTCCTGACCTTTTTTTTCATTGATTGTTGTTATGTATATGTACATTCATATATATATATTCCTAAAATACACAAATGCAGTGTTTGGTCTGTATAATGTTACCTGTATGTATGTTTTCAGGGATGACAATTTTTAGTGCTGGATGATCAGTTGGTACATTCTCAGTCTTCCTTAGATGGATAGGCCCATCCAACACAGCTATTCACATTTCTGTGCATTTATGATTACAAGTGCTATGCTTGCTGAAAAGATGACATTTCATAGCACTTCTCCCTATCTTCTGGCTCTAATATTCTTTAGCCCCTTCTACAGTGTTCCCCTAGCTTTAGTGGGGGTATTGCAAAAGCAAAGTTTAGAGCTGAACACTCATTGGAATTATTTATTCTCAGCATCTTATACAGCCATGAGTCTCCACACTTATTACTGGTCTCTAGAAATAAAGGTTTCTCTGATTAAAAGTAAAAGCCTATGGTATAAACACAAATACTTAGAAAGCAGCTTAAAATCATTTTGGCTTAACTAAGCAACAGCACTCAGCCCCCCGACTGGGGCCTGTGATCTTCACCACCATAGGTTTTTGACAAGGTTTATAGTACTGGGTATAAATTTCCTCCCATGGAATAGTTCACAAATCTAATCAAAGAGCAGCTGATTATCCTCATAATGGTAGTGACAATATTTCATAAGTGGGGAACATTTGTCTGGCAGGTTGAGCTCATATATCATAGGATGGACAGCTGGGTAAGACATCTGAAGCATTTTCTAGCCCAGGAGCTGACTTAGAACATTCTACATCCTCTAACACTAGGAAAAAAGCTAGCCAGCAGGGAAAAATTTTCCAACTTAGAACCAGCAAGAGTTTTTAACATCATGCATACACAGTTTGTATTGTCTTCAGGAAATACAAACTAGTCTTCTAGTTCTTTGAGAGCAACCAAAAGGAATGGCTTGGTTAGAGCTTGAATTGTTCTGTGGGACACTGGGGACTCCTTGACCAGCAACTCATCCCACCCAGGTAGGAAGGGTTTTGCTTAATAATATGCCTACTTGGTAGATATATTTCTAGCCTTACATGGTATCTCCTTTCAGACTCCTTTCCTCTAATAAACTGCATTTTCTTTGTTCTTTTCTTTCTTTCTTTTCTTCCTCTTTCATTTAACTTTCAAACTAAAATTGTGTTTTCTTTACCCACAGCACATTTCTAGTACCATTCGGCTTTTATTAATAGGTCATAGAGAATCCAATTTGGCATCCAAAAGCAGGGAATTGTCTCTTAGCCCAGTGCAATAAGTAATCTGAGGACAAATCATTTTCAAATTCAGATTAAAGACATAAAGTCTCACCTCTTCCAACCCTTCTGTGTTCCCTCCAGGTTCCATCCCCTACTACACTGCCAAGTTCAGTTATGTTTCCCAGAATACATGACACAACATCTGTGGTGACTTCCACTGAGATTTATTTCCCAGATTTTCATTAAAATAATAACTGAATTGACTCAGTAAAATGCTGCTTACCATGAAACAGCCCTTTAGAGGTTTGCAAATTTGCATTTAATACTCTTTAATGTCATTACAGCATTAATAATCTATGCCTAAAGAGCAATAAAATATTTCACACTTTCTGTTTATGGAGATAGCTTCATAACCCTCCATTTTAATGTGACTGGGTCATAATATACCTTAAATAGAATTCTTGACTTAGTCTGAATGAATCTTAAACTATAAACAACTGCCCATCTCCATATTCTCCACTTCTGAAAAATAATGCAAGTACCTTGTCTCAACCTGATGAATGGCATGACCTTTCCTAAATTGATTAATGGCCTCTGAGTTGCTCAAGTTTCTAACTGAAAAAGGAACTGAGACTGAAGAGGGGAATCCAAAGCTATAGCAGCTACATGTGAAGGGTACTTCACCTCAAGCTTTAATCAAGACCCATTATGTAGATCCAGTGCCTGTAGTCACATGCCTGGTAGAACTGTTGAGTGAAGTAAAAGGGAAGGTTTTCTTGTCCTCCTCTTCTTTCTCCCTCTTCTTTTTCCTTCATCGTTCCTCTTCCTTCTCATCCTCCTCCCCTTATTCTCTTTCCCCCCTCCCCTTCTCTCTCCCTCTATCTTTTCTTCCTTCTTTTCTTTCATCTGTTTAGATAAGCACAAATAATATTGAGAGAAAAGTTTAATGATTTTTTTTAAAGATGCAGTTTTTACATAAGTACTAAAAGTGAAGAATTTTACTTAGACCTTTGCAAAGTCAGCTGAGAGGTTTAAGAATAAGATGATAAACAGCAGACAAATAAGTAGGAAAGTAGGATCCAGGGAACTCACAAAGGATGGTTAGCTTTTTTGTTTCTGTTCCTGTTCCTGTTTCTGTTTCTGTTTCTGTTTTGTTTTGTTTTGTTTTGTTTTGTTTTGTTTTGTTTTGTTTTGTTTTGTTTTGTTTTGTTTTGTTTAATTCCACAAGTCACAGCCAAAACTCACCTTGAGCAGAAGTGTTTGGCTTTTCTGGCAATTTCTTTGAGGCAGAAACTGATGTGGTCCACACTAGCCTCAAAGTCAAAACATAAACCAGGCAACCTTCAACTCCTGATCCTCCTGCCTCCATCAACCAAACACTGAAGTTACAAACTTGAGCTACACTCAATATCTAATCAGAGAGTTGTTGTTGTTGTTGTTGTTTTTTACTGTTCTGTCTAGTTTAAGTTTTTGTTAATGAAATCAGTGGGGAAAAAGGTGTTCTCCAAACAACAGAGCTTTACCTTATTTTGTTAAAAGAAGGAAGATATTGCTTCAATGACTTGCATTCCATCAAGATACTGTACAGAGATTTGAAACTAGACAATATTCTTTAAGATGCAATGGACAAGTATCCTTCACAGAGTTGGCCTTTGTAAAGATGTATTTGGTGTATCTGATAATGTCAAAACCTTTTGTGAAATGCTAAAGTGTCTTGCACCTAAATTGATTGGAAAACTGTGCTATAAAAAATGGAACACTGGTGGTGCCTCAGTGCTGGTCAGTGTGACCTACTCATGAGCTGCCTGCCTCCTTTCTATTGCTGAGATGTTACTGATGTCCGTAATGCTCCTCACATGCCTCTAAACTTGCTCACAGGAATAAGCTCCAAAGTCTTCCATTATGGAAGAACTGTTAGAAAAAGATAGGAAAGCAGGGCTTGGTGCCAGAGAAACCTTTCTTGAAATTCAAAATCATCCTTTTTTTTATCAAAAAAGAAAATATTACCTCCATGAATCCTCATAAGCTAGACCAAATGATGTTGAGAACTTTGACACAGTGTTCACAGAGGAAACCATTCTTCACTGCATCTGTCTTCTAGTTTGTGGAGCTCGCCAGTATCCTGAAAGGAGAGGATGTTTTCCATGGTTTTTCTCACGCTCTTCCTTCATAAGTATTGTATCTGAGAACAGATCACTATCCAGAAACAACAGAGCAAATGCAAGCCTATAAGTGAAATCCAAGCTCTCATTTGTGGAAATATATTCAAATATTTTATGTCTGTATCTAATTTTCACATAAAATGTCAAAGACTAAAAATGCATGCTGTGGATATCACTCTGGATAAATAAAATGCTGATTGTCCAATAGCCAGGCAGGAAGTATAGCGTAGGTGGGATAAGGAGAGAGGAGAATTCTGAGAAGCAGAAGGCTGAGTCAGGAGACACTGACAGCCACCCCTGCCATGAGAAGCAAGATGTAAGGTACCAGTAAGCCACAAGCCATGTGGCAAATTATAGATTAATACAAATGGGTTAATTTAAGATATAAGAACTAGATAGCAAGAAGCCTGGGCCATTAGGCCAAACAGTTTAAATAATATAATCGTCCATGTGTTTATTTGGGTCTGAGTGGCTGCAGGTCTGATTGGGACTGGAGAAAACTCCAGCTACAAATGCATTTACTGATAAATGTGAAAAATAGAGCATTTCAAAGAGCTAAGGTTTGAAGTGCTCTTTTTAATCTTGTTTATTAAATTTATTCTTTTTAAATCAGAAAATTTAAAGTTACTATTCTTAGCTTCAACCTAGATCTAAAAAATTATTTTGCTATTGACTCCTTTCTCCCTAAGTTTACACTAAAACACCCAAGGTAGATTGTTTTAAATAATCTATCATTGCATCAATTCCTTTATGATTCTACTATGAGTTTTATAAACTATGCAAGTTGAGGTGTGGGTATTTTAAAAAATGGTTTTCCATAAATAACTACCATTTAAAATAATTGGATCTGGGTAGGATTAAAATGTAAAAACATAGTCAACCAGATAGTTGCTGATTAACACCAAATCTTGCAGATAGAAAAAGAAATAACAAACATGAATTACTTGCTTTTGAAACAGCTTTTAAATTACATGCATCATTTTCCTTTGGAGGAGAAGAAAAGTTTTAATAGAAATATTAAGAATTCTCATATAGCTGAAGTGCAATAAAGAACTTCCAGAAGTTTTCAAGGTGGTGCCAAAATGAATGCTTCCATTATGGATTTAAATTACAAATAGATTCTGTTTGTGTTGCTTTTTGCATTTTGCAATATTTAATGCACTATTCATTCAGTACAAATCTGTTTCAGTGAATAACTATGTAGCTATTTCAGAATCGTCTTCCTAGATGTTCAGGTGAAATAAATAAGAGACTAGAACGGAGCCCTATCAGATGCTAACCTACCTATGAATCCAAACAAGACAGAAAGTAAAGTAAAAAGGGACTGAGCACAAATGGCCGTGAAGTTGTAAGTGATCTTCTCTCACAGATAACAGATTCTTGGCCTGGAAAGTAGGATTTGGACTAGTGACACCAGAAAACATGCAAAAAAAAAAATAGTAATGATTTAGACGAAAAACCAGAAGGCTTACTAATGAAAGTGTAAGGAACAAGAATATTTTAAAGGGGAATTTGAAAAGTAGCAGAAACATATCTAAGCAAAATGGCACAGTAGAAAATTAAGGCTCATTTTAATTTACTCAAAAATATAAAATCACCAAGTCAATAACTTCTGTATCAGAAAACACAGCCCAGTTCCCAAACAGGTTTAACCAAACCCATTTTCATTTGGATAAGCATATGAATACGTTTTTGACGAAGTGAGACAAGTGTGGGTCTGCAGTTAGTGACAGATTAAATATGAAAGTTACATAAAATGAAATTTGGCTTTTCATCTCAGCTCCTGAGGTAGATGTGCTCATTGAAACTGCAAAACTAGTTAGTATTTGCCATTTACAATGGAAATAATATCAAATGTACTTCATGAAACCCAGTCAAAGTACACTATTAAACAATATTCATCAGGTCCTCCTTTTCTACTATTCATGGAGAATTTTTTTTTCCTCAGAGAATCAGATACCAAATCTTACAGAAGCTCTTCCCATATGAAAACATAGTGTTTGCATGTGACATATACACCTGCTTCTATGCACCGTTAATCATCTCTGCCATATAAATTCTACTTAAATAGTTGTTATGTTTTATTGTTTAGGTGACAATTACATGTCAAAGACTGTATGCATTCTGACAGATGAAACTTCTTGTCAAGTATTTTCAATCTGCAGTTAACTGAATTTGCAGTTATCTTACTCACAAAGCAAAGTAATTTATAAAACGTATGTGAAAGCTGAAGATGTTGGTGACATATGTCAAAGCTCTCTTGGCCAGGGAAGAGCAGGCAGAAGTGCCTCCTGTGCAAAAATGAGGACTGGAACTTAGATCTCTTCCCCTCATAAATGACAGAGAGATGAGGTAGCCTGCTTCATCAGAGTAGACAGAGACGGGATCAGAGCACCAAACAGACTAGCTAAACTCATTAAACTGATCAGCTCTGGGTTGAAGTGAAAGACCTTTGAAATAACCCTTTTTGCCTCACTATGTGAGGTGGAGAAGAACTGAGGAAGACACCTAACATCAGTCTCTGATCTCAACATGTACACACATACATGCATGTAAACCATACATATGGGTACCTACATATGTGTAAATATACATACACTCATGCATGAACAACATACATTCATATACATGCAAACAAAATTAAAAACTCTATTGATGACCTTCTTCCACACTTAATTTATTTATCTATAGTAAAGGTTGTTTCACAGAAAATTCAAATTCTAAATGTTGTCCAAAAGTTACCACCTTTGTTGACCAGAGTTGTGTGTGTATATGTGAGTGTGTGTGTGTGTGTGTGTGTGTGTGTGTTACCTCAATATAGAAATCCCAAGGATAATAATAAGGCTGGTTCACTTATCAGTGGAAAGGATATGCATAGAATATTCATTTTCAGTAGGCATAGTTACATCAGATGTGGATGGGGAAGTAGCAGAAATGATAGGTGGGAAACAAAAGCAAAGCATTTCAAACAATTGATTTTCTTGTTTTATTCATGCAGGTGATATTCATTGTCTGCTTAGATTTTGGTGGACAAACCCCAGAAACAGAAGATTGAAAATACTTGAGAAATGATACATAAGAAAAGTCAAGTTATTATCATTGAATTTTGCATATTTTTGTTCACATTAAATTCATACATAAGCATAAAAATATTGTTTCAAGTTTAAATTTTAACAAAGAATGGAAAGTATCTGAAAAGAATGGAAATAAAGAGCATATTTCTAGGTAATAATTGTACAATTACATTAGGATTTTCCTAAGAGTTTGGAAATAAAAAACAGACAATAATCAAGGTATTCCTAACAGGAGAAAAAGTATATGGACACAAATGGAAGGAAGGAGAGAAAGGAAGAGGGAGGAGAGAAAGTAGAGGTGGGCAGAACACACTGAGGCAGCTCTACAGAGAAACATAAAGGAAAGGTAGTGACATAATGAACTATTCAACAGACGGAGCCAAGCTCCAGTCCTACACCAACTTATCAGTTCTTCTTCCCCAAATACCTCCCATGATTATAGCTACCTCTGAACTTTGTAGCTAAATCATACATTCTCATTAACACAATCACTGAAAATCATTATGGGCTTTCACTGTGGTCAAAATATGGAGTAGATCTGGCTACAGTTAAACATATCAGTCATAATCAGACCTGCTTTGTTTTCTAAGGCAGGACCCTGATGTTTCAAACAAGCATTTATAATGTGTAGTCCTCCTATCTGGAGAGACCATGAAGATTAAGTATAGATATATGAATGCCAAGGAGCTGGGTTTGAATGCCTGTGAGTTCTTTAAACTTCCAATAGAATTTGTTAATAGTACTTATTACTACTTAACAAGCCAAAGAGCACTTAATAATCAAAATATGTTGGCTCTCCAAAATAA